GGCTTTTAAAGTCTCTTCCATTGTGTTTTTCAGTGTTTTCATGAGTGATGGTCACTCGTTGGCCTGAGAGCTGTGGTGTGTCCAAATTTCATGTCAATTCATCCAGTGGTTTTTAAGTTATGTTAATCTCACAAACAAACATTACATTTTTATTTATATTGACTAGCCGTCCCCTGCCACACGTTGCTGTGGCCCAATCTGTGTATATGTGTTTTGCGTGTGTATATATTTGTGTATATGTATATACATTTAGTTTTCTCATTAGATCTTCCTGGTGTGCCATCATAGTTATGTTATGTTGTTGTTCATTAAGTCGCTCCGACGCTTCGTGACCTCAGGGACAGACATGCAGAGCCCATACCAGCTGTGCCCACCCCAGCTCCTTAAAGTCTGTTCTTTCATTTTTTTTTGCTTAACTTTTTCATGCTACCTTCCAGCTCATATCTATTTTCCATTATTTTTTACTTTTCTGCAGTGCTGACCTCCAGCAGGAGCGGTCAAGGGCCAGGGCTTCCCAGTTCTCAGTGTCTCCAGCACCAGCTTCCTCCAGCACCACAGTTTCCTCCAGCACCACAGTTCAAAAGCCTCTATCTTCCTTTGCTCAGTCTTTGATCAGTCTTCCCTATCCATAGGTTACTATGGAGAATTCCATTGGTTTAACTATGCGGATCTTGGTTGTCAGTGTGATGTCTCTACTCTTCACTATTTTATCGAGATTGGACATTGCTCTCCTCCCAAGAAGGAAGCGTCTTCTGATTTCCTGGCCACAGTCTGCATCTGCAGTACTCTTTGCACCTAGAAATACAAAGTCTGTCACGGCCTCCACGGTTTCTCCCTCTATTTTCCAGTTGTCAATCATTCTTGTTGCCATAATCTTGGTTTTTTACGTTTAGCTGCAACCCGGCTTTTGCGCTTTCTTCTTTCACCTTGATTAGAAGGCTCCTCAGCTCCTCCTCGCTTTCGGCCATCAGAGTGGTGTCATCTGCATATCTGAGGTTGTTAATGTTTCTTCCAGCAATTTTCACCCCAGCTGTGCATTCATCAAGCCCCGCACATCCTCGCATGATGTGTTCTGCATACAAGTTAAAAAGGTTGGGTGAGAGGATGCAGCCTTGCCGGACACCTTTCCCAATCTGGAGCCAGTCTTCTGTTCCGTGGTCAGTTCTGACTGTTGCTCCTTGGTCCTTGTACAGATTCCTCAGGAGAGAGGGAAGGGGGCTTGGGATGCCCATCCCACCAAGAACTTGCCACAATTTATTATGATCCACACAGTCAAAGGCTTTAGAATAGTCAATGAAGCAGAAGTAGATGTTTTTCTGAAACTCCCTGCCTTTCTCCATTCTCCAGCATCCGGATATTGGCAATCTGGTCTCTGGTTCCTCTGCCTTTTCTAAACCCAGCTTGAACATCTGGCAACTCTCGCTCCATGTATTGCTGGAGTCTTCCTTGCAGGATCTTTATATATTGTTATATATCGTTGTTGTTATCATATATTATACTATAATATTATGTATCATATTACATTATTATTATTATTATTATTATTATTATTATTATTATTATATATTGTACTACATTATTATATTTTCAACAATATGAAGGTAAAGTAGTATATTGTATTTTTATTATTATATTATACTATAATATAACACTTATATTATACTATATTATGTATTGTTATTATCATCTATTATACTATAATATTATGTATTATATTATCCTGTATTATTATATATTGTTATCATCTTTTATACTTTAATATTATGTATTATTTTATACTATATTGTTATATATTATTATAATCTATTATACTATAATATTTTGTATTATTTTATCCTGTATTATTATATATTGTTGTTATTATCATATATTATACTATATTATGTATTATTTTATACTATATTATTATAATCTATTATACTATAATATTATGTATTATTTCATACTATATTGTTATATATTGTTGTTATTATCATCTTTTATACTATAATATTAGGTATTATTTTATACTATATTATTATATATTATTATCATCTTTTATACTATAATATTAGGTATTATTTTATACTATATTGTTATATATTGTTGTTATTATCATGTATTATATTTATTTATTTATTTCACAGTTTTGTATACCGAGCTTCTCAACCTCGTTGAGGGACTCAGCCCGGTTTACAGCCATAAAAACATATACATTCATTAAAATATCATATATCACAAATTACACATCAACTTTAAAATACACTAAATATAAAACTACAGTGGTCAGTCGTCCTATTAAGATGGATCTATATCCACTTCCATCCAGAGTCCTATGGTGTTGTCTCATTCCTCGAAGGCCTGACTCCACAGCCACGTCTTCACC